CCACCCACCCTCCACTAAGGTAAGTATAGGTAAGTATTCCACTGCCAAGTCAGTGTGACGGTGCTAGGTGGGAGGTGACAGGGTTGCCATAGTTACCGCTGACCTCCGCCGAGTTCCCGAGGCTCCTCCCACCCAAGCACCAACGCCAAGCTCATCTACGTGTGATGAGTTTAATAAAATATATTGAACCAACACTGCCTTTTAACAATCACAAAAGAGGGTTAACAGTAATGACACTCAAACTGTGACCATTTCCTAAACTTTCTACTGTTTCTATAACCCTCTAAAATGAAGCACTGACTTCAAAGACATGGATCAGTGATGATCTCATTTCCAATAGATTGGCTCAAGGGATGATTTCAACTGTTTACAATAAATAAATAAATAAATGGGATTTAGCAGTGGCATTTCTACAGAGTAGCTATTCATCCACTGTCATTCCAATGGGAATTTAGGAGTTGATTTTTGCGGAGAGAGGAAAGCCGGGGAACCCGGAAAACCCTCAAAGTACAGGAGAGAACCAACAAACAACTCTACTCACATACAACACCGAGCCCAGCGGGACTCGAACCCAGGTCACATTGGTGGGAGGCGAGCGCTAACAACACACATTTTTTAAAAGTAAAACAATTTTGAAGCATTAAAAAAAATCTCACCTAAATTATTTATTCTTTCCCCCTCTTCTGTCACAACAATTGATATGCCATCATTTATGGACAATACTTCACTATCATACTGAAAAAAGATTAAGCACTTATTCATTACACTAAATGGTGTTTTAAACATTTTATAAAGATATTGCAATTGCAATTATAATAGAAACTATATTCACTTCATGTACAGGCTTTCTCATGCAGCAGTCTAGCTAGATAGAACAATAGCCTCATCAGGCCAAGGGTGGGTCCAGGAATTTTTCTGGGAGTGGGTGCATGATCAGGACATTCATAAATTCAATACCAATAACATAGTGAGAATCAGCTTATTGATCTGTTGGGAGAGAGTGTACAACCCCTACCTGGCCCCTTCCCATACTCTACCCTTGACCATGTTAAAGTGATTCAGGATGGGTTTATATAGGCATAAAGATATACAAAGAATTTTGTTCTCTGATGTGAATAAACACACTTGTGCTTGATAAATTGGGTCCATATAAATATATATATATAAATGTTGATATAAAAGTGCAACATAAGTAATTGATTCATGTATATAACAACTGCACGTAATGACTGTACATAACTGTACATAGCAACTGTAATAGTTGCATTTTGTTTAAATAACCTTAACTTACTAATGTATCATTAGGAATATTTTCAATACAGTCACCAGAATATGGTGCTGGAAGCTCTTTTATTACAGTGCTCAAGCTTCTTTGAGGTTCCTGTAAGTAAACCAAGACAAATCAAATCCTATTGGCATCTTTACAAATGTTTATTAGATATATCTAGTGATACAACTTGTGGAATGTTTATAGATTGTTGCACTGACAGCAAGCAAAGAGCTAGGGTTTTAACACATGTTTGATATCAACTGTGTATCTCAAATAAATACATAAGAGGATTCTGTATTTTGAACCCAATAATGATTTTGCAATTGAGTGAGTTTTACAAAAAGGTCTGGTCTAGCATTGGTAAAAAACAATTGATACCATCTAATTAAACAAAAAAAGTAAGCAGTAACTTTATAATCATCACCGTCATCATCATCTTAATAATCATCAACATCATCATTCCCATCAGCTATCACCACCACCACCACCACCACCATCATCATCATCAACATTACAGTACCCAAGGTAGACCAGAATGTACCATGTTTATTAGTCAGCAAATACCTACATAGAAAAAACATGTTCTTGCATTGGCAATGCTCAATTTAAAATACAATTGCAGTCTGATCTACATGCTTACAAAACCTACATCATTTGACTTATCTTCAACGTGCATTGCTTTAAAACGTAGATATCCAACTTCAGCAAATGCATCATCTGAGTGAATGATGACTTCAGAATCATCACTAAAAACAATGCAATATTTTAATTGGATTTTAAAATAGATCTTCTGGGTTTGAGGCTCAGTGCTGTCTCCAATTAAAAGTTAGGGAGTTGTGGAGTTGAATTTATTATTATAATAAATTTATGAACTTACATGACAATTCGTTTTTTAAACAAAGGACAGTCAAGGGTAAATGTTTCAAATTCTCCTCCTTCTCCACATACATTTATCCCAAATTGTGAATTCTGAAAAACAAAAAGGAGAACATAGTATTTTTTGTCACTGTTGTGCAAAGGGACAAACTAAATACATGTAAGCTGAAGCAGCTGATGATGAAGAAGAAGAAGATGATGATGATAATCACAGATGACAAAGCAACAGGAGGAACAGGAGAAGAAGGAGGAAAGGGTTAGGTTTCTGGAATTTCTTAAAACTTTTGAGCACTTAAATAATATGAAACGGTTGAATAACCAGACGTATGATGCAGTGTAATGTATGTTAAAGAAGTCAAAATATTCATATTACATACCAGCTTCAAAAGAAGAGGATGAAGTGCAGCCATCTTCAATCCAAGATGCTTTCTTGGTATGAGACCTTGAAGGTAAGAAGAACTATAAACAATGTTGAATATTCTAATGGCAATGGCTCAGTGAATGAATTGATGAATCCAAGATGCTTTCTTGGTATGAGACCTTGAAGGTAAGAAGAACTATAAACAATGTTGAATATTCTAATGGCAATGTATGGCTCAGTGAATGAATTATCAATGAATCAGTTTTTATTTCCAAGCAAAATTTAACCCTTTAAATTAAGGGGGGCAGATCCAAGAATCTGAGAATGGGAGGAATTCAGCGTTAGGTGATTTCACCACTGACTATGCAAAATTAAACCAGAGTAGGTCCACAGGCATACTACCAAGAAAATGTTTATAATACAGTATGGTTTTCAGAACCATAGGTGTATCTCCTGTGATCTGGGGATTCGTTATTTTGGACACAAAAAGGTAAAAACATTAATCTCAAACTAAAAAAAAGCCCAACCCTCGTCCCAAAAAAATCCACGCATGTGGAATGTACAGTATATACACCTATTTTGAAAATCGTTATCGCACCAAGAGCCTCAAGTTACAAGCCAAGGCTCCAGAGAACGTCAGTACTTTTAATCATAATTGATTTATTCATGGTTCATGCAAGTGGCTATAGCTCTCCACTAATTATCATCTCAAGCAGCCTTGCTTGGAGCAATTTGTAAAGTCAATTAATGAAAATGCACCATGAATAAACTAATAATTACAGCAAAAAGTACCAGTTTTCTTTGTGGTCTAATTGGCTTGTTGCTTGAGGCTTTTGGTGCAACAACTATTTCAGAAATATGTGTATATACTGTATTTTCTCCAATTAATAATGTAGTACATGTATGTTCACATTACATACCCATAACTGCAACCTTAACAATAATAGCAACCAACCCATTAGCAATCATTTCTTCATACAATTCCTTTTGTTCTCTTCGCCATAAATATGCCAAGGATGTTACGTTAAGACGAGAACATCTAAAAGAAATGAAGCTTTTTCATCAAAGATTTAAAGGTATTTCAATTATACAAGGGATATGAAATAACTGATTACTCTAAAGACTTACACATGTTCTACTCTTACTCTTTGATAGTCTGATAAGATGGCCCCTGTAGAAACTGCATCAAACTCAATTTCTGACTGAATAAAAAATAATATATAAGCATAACAATTAATTAACATCTAAAAATAAGATGAAAAAAAAAATCCTTGTTCTTAGATGAACAAATAAATGTGTGGATAAAAGAATGAATGTTGGGAAGGATGGAAGGATGGAATGAAGGATGGATGGAAGGGGATGGATGGATGGAAGGGGATGGATGGATGGATGGATGGGTGGGTAGGTGGATGGATGGATGGATAGATGGATGGATGAATGGAGAGAAAGGATTGATTGATTGATTGATGGATGGATGGAGAGAAAGGAT